TCCGCTCCGCTCCTCGCTCTCGCTCCGCTCCGCTCCTCGCTCACATGCTCTGGTAGCCACACGAGGTAATGAGGGGGGCGTGGCACACACGAGGATAAGACGAGCTGGGCGTAACACATGGTTTATGAGAGAAAATTTCTGCAGAAATACTTGGTATAGTCAACATTTTTAACCAGCAGACAAATATTTCGCTTGAAAGTTTTTTTTTTTTACCCCAAATCACCCTTAATTTCCATCCAGCCACTTAAAACATAATTATTTTAATAATTATAAATGTTATTCAGTTTCAAAAGTGAAAACACTGGACACAAACTGCCGTAACCACTTTTATTAAACACGAATGTGACAGCCTCCCCAAAATAATCTCAATATGAGTTAGTGGCATTTTTAGCATGGCATTTAACTTACAGATTTTACACAAACTTAAATCAGTGTCTTATTCAGTTCTGATCAAACCCAGTTACAACGCACACAACAATTGAATATTCAAATTCTAAATATATTCTTCTACTGATTGGTAACACTTATGTCTATACAAACCTTAAAATAAATAAAAACAAAAGCCTTGATTTCAATATAATGTGGGGAAAAGCTTTGCCTTCCATATCTGACTCGTGTTTGGATGTGCTACAGTATTATGTAACGTATAAAACAACAGCTACTAGTAACATCCACTTCCTGGATAAATTCACAGTTTCCAGCTACATTACTGTAACAGCATGCTCAAAAATCATGTGCTACCATTAGGAATGTGCATATGGAGCAACAGTGCTCCATCAGTAAAATGTTTTTATGATTAAATATATATTTGAAATTTAATTTTACTTTCCCCGATCATAGGTGTTGTGCGCCATCTAATGTCACATTAAAATCGGATATTTCAAATGAGGATCAAAACCATAACACAGCATATAAATACATTTGTACTGAGCAACCAGTGACTGCTACAGACCCTAGTTTAGCTACCAGCTCAAAACTAAATGTTAAGAGGAAGCAACTAGGCATTATTAAGCAGTGAGTGACAGAAGCCTTCACTTTAGCAGATAAGAATATTTTCAACACTCCCTATGCATACACATATAAAAATATTCCATATGTTTATAAATATTAGTGCTATAAGTAACCTTGATTTCTTGTAACATTCTTGTAACGTGTACCATTTCTATACCCTTCCCTTCATCCATGTGACCCTCATCTGGCCTCACATCACCCATGAGTTACTTATCGTAGAGGTCTAGAGGGTACTGCTCTTTGTAATGCTTTAGGTGGTTCCACATGGCCTCCTTCTGCTTCTCTATGTTGGGGGTCATCTCCTGGTATACGTCAGAGAACAGGAGGTCCAGGCGCGGCTTGTGTCGCTTCTCGGCCCTCTCGAAGGCCTCCATGACATGCTTGCGCGACTGCTTCCTCCAGGTCTTCTCCTCCTCCTCACCCCACCAGCCGCGCGCCGTCATGTAGTGGCGCAGCCGTGAAATGGGGTGGTCCTGCTTGTCCCAGTAGTTGACTTCGTCTACCGATCGGTAGGCTGAGCTGTCGTCACTGGTGCTGTGATGGCCGATCCTGTGAGTGAACAGGGTGGGGGGTGGGTACTCAGGTAAGACCGAATTAAGTTTCATGAACCACTTGCTGTATTTTCAAACCCCAGCAGATGGTGCTCTCTGTTCAAAAAAAGGGCTCAGAGCATTCCCCAAAGTACACCAAGAGTGCCATTTCGTGCAGTCAAAAAATCATAATAGCTGAATGAAGTTTCATAAACCACTTCTTGACCTCAGCAGATGGTACTTTCTGTTCAAAAACCGCACTGGCACTCTTGGTTTCCTTTGAAACATGCTTTGAGCCCTCTTTTGAACAGAGAGCACCATCTAGTGGGGTCAAAAAATACAGCAAGGGTTCATGAAGCTTCTTTTGGGCATCCCTTTAAAGAAAATGTATTTACCATTCATCCATCTGTTCATTTTGACCAATCATGATTTTGGATGCGAAGAGCAAATTGAGTCTGCGTGATTTAATGATTTTTTTATGAAGCTTTTAATATTCATCTAAAAACCACTGCACAAATATAAAGTTTATTTACAGCAACTACAATCCTTTCTCAAAAAAAACATTTTGTTGGTTGTCACCCAACTGGTCCAACAACTGATTTTCAGTTACAAGTGTGTGTTCTTGAAATGCTATCAATGTTAAATGGCAGTATTTTCCGCTTCACCCTTCCATTTGTACACTTGGAATCACATCTGCCCCGTCTCTGCTCCATTCATTCCTGTTGCTGTCCTCTGAACTCACTAACACAACAACATCCTTTCTGAAGAGAGCTATACAAAGTATTTTAGGTGAGTTTTAACATTCTACACACTTGAAACTTTTATACAAATAAACCCTCCAGAATCCCATTCATATAAGTTAAAACGGGGATATAATACTAGATCCTGTGCAAGTGGCAGTTTCTTACTGTGGAAGCAACACAAACCAGACTTGAGCAGGCAACACAAATACAGTAGAGGGTGAATCCAGGACAGCTATTACATGCAGATATCCACTTATATTCCACATGCTTTTTGAGAACAGGATCACAGAAGGGTCTGGATCCTGTCCCAGGCAGCACAGAGCCTAGGGAAGGGCTACACCCTGGATGGGATGCCAGTCACTGAGTACATGTACATTTAATTAATGTAATTGACTGAAGTTAAGTTGCAAATGTGTTTAATGCATCTTTTACTGTATATGAATCCATGCATTACCTGTAAGTCATGGCTTCGATGAGGAAGGGCTGGTTCTCTGCGATGGCCCTGCGGCGAGCCTCCTTAGTGGCGTTGTACACGGCAAACACGTCATTGCCATCGACACGGATGGACATCATGCCGTACCCTGGGCCCCGGGCAGCTACAGAGGTACAAAGCGGAGGCCACAGCTCATCTACTGGCGCTTTTCCACTGGCATACAGGAAGCGAGTCGCATCTCTGAACTGGTATCTCCATGCAGTTCAACCAATCAGAGGGTGGCGATGCAACTATCTCGATTTGGTCACACTTTCAGCCCTGTTAGTAGGGCCGTGTCAGCTTGGTAACGTCTCGGGTACGGTTTGGGTTCGGCTTGCATACTTTGCGATGGAAAACCCCCAATTCGCGGTAAGGGTCGGGTACAGCTCGGGTACAGCTCAGTTCTCGGTGGCAGTGGAATAGTGTCATATGACAGGCACAAGACGCTCAGTCTAGTATGAAAGGAAGGGGCAGCTGGGGCTCACCAATGCCGTCGCCCCGGTACTGCTCATTGGTGGGGGTGGAGATGGCATAGCCATTGTTGCGGCAGAAGAAGATGATGGGACACTCCAAGGTTGCGGAGAAGTTGAAGCCTGCATGGGCATCTCCCTCACTGGCCGCCCCCTCCCCAAAGAAGCAGATGACGACACGGTTGGAGTTCTCTCTCTTCACAGCGTAGGCTGCCCCCGCCGCTAAGAACGCAAGAACCGTGCAAGGAGTCAGTAGTTGATGTCCTCAGGAGATGGAAGCAGGCAATGGAGGAAGAACCAACAGATTCAGGAGCTCACCTTGGGGGATCTGGGTGGCCAGAGGAGACGAGATGGTGACAAAGTTGAGGTCTTTGCTGCCATAATGCACAGGCATCTGGCGGCCTTTGCCCAGATCGTCAGCGTTGGCATAACACTGCGCCATGAACAGGTCCAGGGGGAAGCCACGGTACATCAGCACACCTGCAGGTAACGATCAGAGTTTAGGACAACTGATGAGTAAATGGTTCGTAATAGCTAAAGCAAACAGGTGAGCAGTTAGCCTGCTGCTTAAAGTGCGGGGGACAGACAGCATAGATATATCGTGATGAGCAATTCCAGGTATTAATGAAGTGTAAGTATGCAGGCAAAAAACTGAACTGTCTCATGTACTGTCAGAAAAAAGTACCATTTGTACCTTTGAGGGTACAAACACTTGTCTGTACCCTCATGGGTCTGTTAATTGTACCCTAGTTGTAGATAAATGTACCTTTCTAGGTACCGAAAAAGACTCTGAGGTATATTTTTGTACCATTGGAGGTACATTAATGTTGTTTGTACGTCAGGGAAGAAAAATGTACCAGTGTAGGCAGAGGGAAAATGCCCATGCACTATACCTGCTTCTCTGTACTGGCCAAAGATGATGTCGTTAGGCTCGAGAGCTGCGGCGCTGCCGACGTGAGTGCCCTCTTCACCGTAGTTTGTCATGTAGAACGAGATGCGGCCCTGTAATTCACCAGCGCACCGTCACCGCCGGCATCGCCATGCAGCGTTCGCATGTCCCTTAACACCGCCCAGGAGATCCGGCTCTCACCTGCCGCTGAGACTCATACAGAATGCGGTCCATCGTGTTCAGGAGCGTCATCTTTTTATAGCAGTTCAGCACCATCTCTTTCGAGAGCTGAGAGCGGTAAGGGCGGAATACAGGCATGGAAATGAGATGATTAAGTGGACAACCAACCAACAGTTGAGGATGGAGAAATCAACATGTTACACACAGGGACGGATCTGAGACGTGGGTAGGGATGGCCAAGGTCAACCCTAATGAAGACGCGGCCACCCCCTGTCGCCACCCAAAATCAAAATGGACGACATATGTATTATTTTATTTTCCAAGCCTGACCATAGAACACACAGTGCGGCCTGGCTACCAAGGTAAATATATCAGGCACCCGACGGCCACCGGAATCGAAATATACCGCAGGCACTACTGAGTGCACCATACTTTGGGTTTGGTGTGATACCTTGGGGTCCTCGGCCTGGTTGATAATCTGACCCTGTCTGTCCATCACCCTGTACACGGGGATGCCAGAGATCACATTGGGCTGAATGAACTCCAGGCGATCGACGAACTCGGCCGAAGCTCCGGGAAACTGCGGCTTCTCCTCCAGAGAGTCAAACGGCTGCTGATGAAGGGCTCCCTGGGACACCGCAGAGGCAGACGATTCAGCACCACTTCATTCATTCATTCATTCACTAAATTTCATTGTACTTCTGTGCAATGACAATAAAAGACATTCTATTCTATTCAACTCTATTCTATTCAACTAACATACCTTTATCAATCACTTTTGTTACATTTCCACTATTCAAATGAAGTTTTCAGGGTAATTTCCATCTACTATATTTTCTTTCTAATTTCACGTTCCACTCTCTTGTTACTGATTGCACTGTCAGAAATAAAAGAATACCAATTTGTGCCTTGTCATTGGGGCTGTACCCTCAATGGTCTGTCAATTGTACTCTAGCTGTAGGTAAATGTACCTTTTAGTCTAAATTAAGGTACAGAAATGGACTCTGAAGAACATCCCCAAGGTACAAACAAAATTAATGTACCCCCAATGGTACAAAAAATGTTCCTCAGAGTCCACTCCTGTACCTTAAAAGGTACATTTAGCCTTGAGGGTAGAGCCCCAGTGACAAAGGTGAGATGATGTGAGATAGCTCTCTAATAGTAGATAAACAGAGTTTAAATAAATTAAATTTATCAAATTGTGGTGAAGGGAGAGTTATATTTAGGCGTTTTTTGTGTGCAGGTATAGGAACAGAACATGAGCTCTAAGAGGTGCGGTAGGACGTCAAAGGCAGTGACACCTGATTCAGAGATCGGTGACCTTGTTTTATTTCCAAACATTCGTCCCCGCCCCTGAAACTGACCAATCAGCAAGCATGGAAATACACGCGCAAATAAATCTCTGTAAAAAAATCATACGAAAATTATCTAGATAATATGTAAATATAATATCAATATAGTCCTGGGCGCCGGTTCAGTCCGTACAGATTCTTTCACCACCGTCATTTACACATACAAATGGCGAATACCTAAAGATATCCCATTTCAAAATAAAACCTTTAAACATGTTAAACATTTAAAAACGACGAATGTGACGTTTTTCTTTATATGACTGAATACACGGTGCGACCGGTTATTAACACTAACGCGAAACAATATAATTCAGCCTTCGTGTTTACATATTGAATTACACCGACAGTCGTAAAAAAAGGTGTACTGAAGGTGATACGATACTGAACGTGGAAAAATACAAATATGGTTGTGCCATACTCACATTAACTCTGAAAGGCCGATAGTGAGTGACTCCGAAGCCCTGGTAGCCTTTTCTTCGGCAGAGCGCACCGAGCCCGGTTCTGTACAGTCCCCGCAAAGCCGCCATATTCACTCAGTCTATCCCCGTCGGCGCATCACATGTCATGCGGAAATTCCTGTACTGACTGGGTGGTCTGAAACCTCGGGCCTTTTATCTCAGACAGGTTTTAGAACCTGCTTTCCTTTATAGAATATTCTGTCTTACATATACGCGTGTGTGGACATGTCCTGCGGCATTTTCTATACCCAGCCTATCTGTAGACTTCGTGCGTCCCTTCCTGGTCCACTAATGTACTCTGGGTTTTCATGAATGGTAAATTGTTGTCCTTCCATCCATCCATCCATCCATCCATCATCCATCCATCTAACTGTTTATTTTCTTTACGTTCGCCGGGGGTGGGAGCAAAGATTTCTGCCTTATTAAATCAATTGTCATGGGCATGTTAGTTACCATTATGTCTGTGATATATTTGTAGTTTCATATTATTCTCAAATGCTGTTTCATAAATACATTGTAAGATCAAAGACTTAAAATAACGTATCATTTATGTTTTAGTGGCAATAAACATGTTACTACTAATGTCACAGTATGAATATCACACGTAAACTTCTTAAAATAAGCAAATAAATTATGAGTTACTGCTTGTGGTAAGAGAGGATGAGTTTATGCAAAACTGTGATTAGATGTCAGTACGTACGCCTGAATTTATGCAGGAATGTATGAAGAGAAAATCCCTGCCTATGAAATATAATGCTAAACATAGTACTAATTTTTGGTAATGTGCTATTGGTTAGATCTCTATCAGTACCTAAATTGAATTTTGAAATTGCAAAAATGTAACTCACCACAAGATGGGGCCATCGGACTGTAGCACAGTACGTTTTATTGTAGGGTTTGGGGCCCACTGGTGGGGCAGATGCATATTAGGTCAAAAAGGACCTGATTATCAACGACAATTACAGCAGACAAACCCCCCTACTTCCCCAGTGAGCCGCCGACACTTTGTAATGGTGACTCAGTGACTAGTGCTGTTTCCTCCAGGTGGGGTTCAGATCCCATCTCTGCTCTGTGGATGTTCACCCTGTGTTGTGTTGGTTTACTCCACTTTCCCCCCACAGTCCAAAGTGGCTAAATAGCATCCCTAAAATGCTCATATTGCGTGATGGTGTGTCTTTGTGTGTGTGCTGGCCTGCTGTGCAGCATGTGTTCCTGCCTTATGCGGATAGGTTTGAGGCCCCCGGTGACTGCAGTGAGAAGGTGGACAGATGGATGGGAATATCTCTGTCAGACACGTAAATAGTTTAAGAGATGGTGTCTTACAGGTAGGAGTGATTCAGAGATGCATTTTTAATCAGTCTGATGTGACACCCTGTGTTACCCATATGTGCCCTTTAAATGCATTTTCAATAGTTTAAACTGGGAGTGTCATTTATATCAATTTATAAGATCATTTTAGAACTTAGAGTATGTGGTTCCTCTCTTCTGTTGTTGTCTGACTTTCTCTCATGTCTTTGCCTTCCTTGATTTTGAGATTATTTAGTATAAATGATGTAGAAATGTATGAAACACACTCTTGAGGAGACTCTGTCGTGAAAGATACTATGTAAAAATAAATTGAATTGGATTGAATTATGATGTCGTTTGTATTAATCGGACAGAGAACATTTGGACACTTTTCAGGTGGAGATGATCTTTTACGATTCTCCCAGGCTTTTTTTACCATTTCTCATACACATGCAAACATACTTTATTAGATGAATTTTGCCTTTGGTATCTTTCAGTTGTTAGTTGTGAATTTTACACAGTAGCCATTCATATGTTATATTTACAGAGAAGTTCTAGTCACATGTTTTGCGTGCCTGGTCTTTCAGGTTGCATCAATAATTAGTATTCTGAATTTTTGAAGTAACAGAAATGAAAGTAGAGACTGCTACAGTTCTCTTTTTTAAAACCACATTCACATTTTAAGATGTCCTGCTGTAACATCCTGAGACCCCAACCATTCATTTATGTCCATTGTAGTGGACGTGTTGTTTTTGTATCTATCTTTTCACTGTTGTAAGGAAACATATTTATTCCTGTTGTACACTAAAGAGGACATGCTGTGAAATTAAAAATAAAAATAAATTTCAAAAAATCTAAATTGTAAGATGTCTTATTTCCTCCAAAGACAAATAACCTACAATTTTTCCTTGGGTCCCAGGAGTATATGGTAGGAATGGAAGAAGGACTATTGAACTAGTGTTCCACACAGAAGTGAGCTTTTAGAATATTAGTCTCATCAACCTAGTGAATAATATTTCAATATTAAGTATTTACCACAAAAAAATTTGGCATGTGCAGTTCTATATATTATATATTATAGAATATATATATATATATCATAGAAAAAACAATACAGATGGATGAAAAAGATAAAATCTGAAACCGATTTTGTTGATTATGAGTTACTGCTTGTGGTAATATGAATTAAAATCATTGGCAAAAAACAAGGAAATCAAATTCTTTCTCTTCCTCTCTTTCAGTTGTAATTGTTCCCTTTCCTATGCCTTATGTTTAAAAGGAATTCAACGATAATTGTATTTGCTGCACTTTTTCTGCGCATATTCCTCAAACCGCTCAGCCCCCTGTGGACTGGTGAAATTTTTTACCCACCGATGCGTCCAGCAGGAATGTTCTCTGCCTTTCCCGTCAGCATGCACTGAAGTGCCTTGAGCACTGATGGAGCAGAACGGAGGCTCTGTAGGACGCCATGGTAACACAGAGGAAGTCTGCTGGCAGTTATCACATCCTAAGATGGCAATGCAGAATAATACAGGGGGGGGGGGGCTCATTGTTACAGTAACTGGAATAATTTATCCTGAAATTGGGTCAGAAGTGGGTTTGCAAGTGAGCGCGCACAACTACGAATGGATGTGTACTTTTTGCTCATGGGAGACAGAGAGGGGGTGGTATCCACTGGCCCTAAGCACTGTGCAAACTGGTTTCCATTTTGGGAAACCAACTGTCTCCCACTGGGGCACATGGAAGCAAGAGAGACAGAATTGGCGTCCTTTGTGTTTGTGAATAATGACCACAATTGTCAAGTGGCCTATGCAAACTCTCCCAGTGTGGGCTCTCAATATATTGCATTTTGAGTATCCAACCACATAATTTAAGAAAAGATGTGAAAACTGACCATACAGCACTGCTCTGGATTGGAAACCAGCTCTCTAATTAGCATATAACTATTTGGCTTGTTATTCACAAAGCAGCACTGTACAGCATCGCAGTTCGGCCTTTTTCTGTGGGACGCTTCCACTCTGTCGAACTTCACCACAGGGCAGGAGCGAGAGGCTGCTGCCACACAACTGTAGCTTCGCGGAATTTAGACAACAATGCATTTAAAATGCAAGGGAATCATACAAACCCAGCAGCGCTGAAAGCCAGACCAGAAACAGCCAGGGCTTGCTGGGTTACTACAGAACATTGGATGGAGTGAGTGAAAGACACACTGGAAAAACAATGAAAAATCACTGCGATGACTGAGATGACTGAAGATAGAACAGAAAATCCACGTTGAACTACATGCAATAATTAAACACCTGACCTACAATTTAATATCACATATTGATATGCCGTTTCATAAATACATTATAATAATTTGTCATTTATGTTTCAATGGCAATGGCAATAGCCACTTCTTCCCAGCTCTACCTATGTGGTTTCCATTATAAACAACTGTATTTATATAAAGATGGATCTTCCAAAGATGTATAAAACGTGCAGTTTGCCTTGTATGTCACTTTGGACAAGCTATGTGCCAAATAAAATAAATGTAACCTTTATTGTCTCGTCATCTCAGTCACTCAGCAGGTCATATGTATGGAAACAGGCTATTATAATTTCCTTCTAAGGCTTTTCTTAAGCTTTCCAAGTATTTATTTGTGAGGAGTAGTCTGTAATTCCTAAAATGCGTATCTGATCAATAACATTCATGCCACATTACATTTCAGTCTCCTGGTACACTTTCCTGTTAAATCGTATATAGAAAAAAATTTAATAAAGGTAATGTAATAAGAAAGGCTGAAAAATCTCCTCAAATATACCTTTCCAATTTGATTAAATTAAAAAAGTATTGAATTTCTAGTTTTTAATTACTTTTTCCTTGTTATTGACTTTCTATTTGTTACAGTGAATTTGCTTGTTATTTCCCTGCTATTTCTGTATTACCAACAGAAACACTTCTTACAATATAATGCCACTCATTTTTTCAGTTAAGTGTTTGCTCCAGTATTTCTTTAATAGTCTATATTTTTATAGACTATTAAAGACTATTATGTCCACCTTCACAGAAGTAATTCACAGATATGATTCACAGAAGTTGTTAGAGTAACGCTACAACTATATACCCATTTGCTTGTGATCAGGCAGTGTGTTCAGTTCACCTGACTGAGGATGGTCCTGTGTCTGAATGAGATGGATTAGGCTATGCAAATTAAGCAGCATTCTCTACTGTCTGTCTTTTGTGATGGTCTGCAATATCCAGATGTTCATTGTCAGGTATCTTTACCTTATTTCTTTTCCACTTCATAATAATGTAGGTTAATGGGATGATACAGCATTTATATGTGCATTATTAGAATAGAACAATGGTTGTTTATTCATCCACAAAATTGGGCAGTTGATTCATATTCCAGCATGCTCTAATTGAGAAATACTGACACACAGGTATGAGAGCAAGGATTCAAACTCGCAACCTTCCAGATACAGGTACAAATCCTTAAAATACTGACCTACACATCAGTCACATTACTGACCTACATTATGACTCATTATTGTCATAAGAGCATGATACTAGCTGCAGTTTTCTGTAAGAAGATCAGTGAATAACAGGTTGCACTACAAGTTTTTATTACTGTTTTAGTGGAAAACCTTTGGTCCAGTTAAATGTTAGTCATAAATATCAATCCTTTGTATTGTGAGACATATCCTTGGCATGGCTTTCAGTCCACTCCTTTGGGGGCTTCTGGCATCCAGATAAAGTGCGTGTCTTGGATAGGAGGGTACTTGTATATTTACAGGTTTTCGTATGTTGAGAAGTAAGAAGTACGGCTGGAATGTGTGTCTTAAGGGGGCTTTCCCGACAGGTAGGAGACGAGGGTGGCGACAGCACAGACGTATGTGATGATGCCAAAGATGATGGACAGTACAGCCAGCCAGAAGGCCTGACGTGAGGCCAAGCTGGCTCTCTGGAAATCCCCCTGTGCCGAGGCTTTGTTTGTCTGAGCAGGGAAGCCGTTTTGGAAAGTGGCCATTCGGAGAGAAAAAAAAAACAACAGGCAATAAGTGTAAATATCACAAGAAACATTTAATCTTTTTACAGAGTTAATACTTATCCAGATGAGTTACCAAAACACACATAGCCAAGAATCTGGAATTTATGCGAACATTTTTTTTCTGATTCACTTGTTTGTTTCTGTTTATTGGCAGCTATTACTGTCACAATTTCTATGGTGATTTTTATGAGAATTTATTACATAACAAATGATTAGGTATATTATGTTATTGTTGTGGACTTCATAATAAAAATTTATTTAAAAAAAATTGCAATATGCTTGCATATCCGTGCAGGTGCTGAGTTGCTTTTAGTGTTATCATTTTTTAGATTAGTTTTGTCATTACAATAACGGTGGCAGATCTTTGCGATCCCGGATCGTTGTCATTTACCTTCTGTGAAAGGTAGAAAGCAGCAATCCCTAGTGGCCAAAAGCAGCAGAGCATGGCGAAGACGGCCAGACCCAGGTAATCCTGAGGGATCACGAGGGAGAAGCTGCTTTCAGTCTCCGTATCGCTGTAGTCATCACTGGAGGACTCCTGCTGAGGCAAAAGTGGGTGGGTGGGGGGAGGGGGTTAAGGTTCATGTCTTCAGCATGATTTCAGCAGCTCCAGATGGTCATTAAAGTGCATCACAACTTGCCAGGCCAGTGATGGATGTGCACCATGGTAGGAATTATTCAAACTATGGCTGGCAAAATGGTTACAAAAGACAATAGGTAGATGCCGGAGCCATGGAAAGCACACTGATGTTACTGTGATATTGGCCTGCAGCCATACTTTGCTTGAAGATTTTAAAGAATGTGTTTTAACTGAATCAAGTGTCCTGCTATAAGGTAGGAATGGAAGAAAGACTATTGAACTAAAGTGTTCCACACAGAAGTGACATTTTAGAATATTAGTCTCATCAACCTAGTGATTATGTAATTTCCTGATATTGTACATTTATAAGAAATGTGGGGTTTTTTTAGCTCTTTTCACTGACTCCCTGGTTAGCAGTGTCGCTTCAAGTCTCCATTCTGTAAATGGACTGTTTGCATGTACGTTCTGCGTGTAAATCTGGTCCCTGACTGCGTGCGTGTACGTTCTGCGTGTAAATATGGTCCCTGACTGCGTGCGTGTACGTTCTGCGTGTAAATATGGTCCCTGACTGCGTGCGTGTACGTTCTGCGTGTAAATCTGGTCCCTGACTGCCTGCGTGTACGTACTGCGTGTAAATCTGGTCCCTGATTGTGTGCGTGTACATTCTGCGTGTTGTACGGACGATTTTTTCCGTTTTCCTCCAGCAGCCAATCAACATGCAGCTAGGTGAAGCCATGTCTCTAAATCCGTCACAGTGTGTGACTGTGTGGCCCATGATGTACTGGTGGAGTCAGGGTGTCCCCAGCACTCTGTTCTCTGCTGCCTAGGACACCCTCCAGGATCAGCTTGTCCTTGTACTAGATGAACAGTAAAGACAATAGATGGATATTGCCTAGTTATCAACTTATACGGTGTTCACAGAAAGTCTTGGGATGCTTGCTTCGTTCTTTAAAAACTATGCTAATTTATTGGTTTCATAACATAAGTCCCTTGACAAGCAATGTTTAACATATCTGCACTTATCTTCTACACAGACATTTTCTTTTTATTAAGTGTCTTTTTTTGACTTATTCATTCTGTTTTGCTTTGCCGTTTTGCCATTAATTGCAGTTGTAGCCACTGGCTCCCAAATGGATACTAAACACACATATTTGGTATTTTATGTTATTGTAAATGTGTCACTCATTAAAAACACCCAATGGGACTACTTGTTAATAAACATTTTCAATCAGAACAGCTCTTTTAGAACTATAATTTGGGTTTCAGTTTATTACTACTGTTTTACTTAAAACTACTGGTTGTTTGTATTGTGAGACTTTCCATGAGCACTGTATAATCTATACTTTTACATTGCCATCTAATACAATATAGAATACATTCACAGGAAAGTATTCAGTGTCATTCTCATTATTGCTTTTACTACTGCTTATTATTGAATAATCCATTGTCCAGTTACATTCACTGTGATATGCAGCTAGTCTTCGGAGTATAAAATATTAAATGAAGCTTCATGAACCATTTGCTGTATTTTTTGACCCCACTAGATGACGGTCTTGGTTTACTTTGATGCATACATTGAGCCCCTTTTTGAGCAGAGAGCATCATCTAGTGAGCACAGAAAATAAACAAATGGTTTATGAAGCTTCATTTGGCCATCAGTACTACATTATTGTGAAAATTGATGATTCAGTATAAACTCTAGATCTACGTAACAAGCAGAAATGCCAGGAATGTGTTTTAATCCTCAGTGTCCAGCCGGTCCTGGTTAGTCCTGGTCAGTTACCTACTGATCATGTTTTCTTTTCCTAGGCTTATGCAAGGCATGATACTAATAATAACGACAAGCATGAGGATTAAGTCATACTGGACTCCCTCCAATGGGCTCAACAGCAACAAGGAGCGTGAGACAGCAGGACAGAGTCAGTCACCATTAATGGAAACTGAAAGAACATATTAGAGCTTTTATGGCTGTGTTTGGCAATACTGTTTTTTATTTCACAGGATACAAGTCCTTTTTGGCTTTACCCATTGCACTGCATATATTTATGACCATTTAAGAACATTTGTTTGTTTGTTATTCATCATTAATATGCTTTTTAAATGCTTTGATAGCTATTTGTAAAAATGAACTTGCACACAAAAATAACACTAGCGCCAACTCAGTATAAATATCACATCAGCAGGCACAGGAGCTAATGAGACGGTCCTCCCCCTGAATCCTAATGTAGCAGAGCTTTAAACTGCAGCGATTCTGCAGCTGAGAATGTCAACATGCGCTTCCTATGCCATTATCTCATGAGGGATAATCCCTGAAGGGATGAAGCTAGGAAAACATATTAGTCCTCTTTCCTCCAACTCAGTCGCTTTCTAAAGTCTTTAATACACTTAAAGTCAACACATCAGGTTTCTCCCGCAGAAGTCGAGCGACACCACATGCATCCCGAATTATCCTTCCCTCAAATCCCCATTTTCCTTCTCACCTATTCCTGTGTGTTATTAAACCCATGTTTGCCTCCTGCATCGGTACTGTATTACTGTGTTTCCTTTGCTAAATTAATAATAGATATTCTGTCAAAAGGAATTCCGAAATTTGTATAATTTTCTCTTTTAAATTCGGGCTTTGTCTTGTAGCTACCCATTTTGATATTTCTTGCAAAGGTATTGTCTTGATAGCAGAAACCTGGGCAATTTCTGACTGTCCCACTGCCAACAGGAAAGCATGCCGTCCAAAGGAGGCACTTATTCAGCAGTCAGGCATCTGCTCCTCGTCCACAACGCCAGTTTTGTTCCAGAGCCTCCTACTTATCCTTGGTAAACGGCACAACTAAAGCATCAGTCACATTTTACACCAAAGCACTTCCAAGCACCTTTTAAATCACCTTTAATCCTGTTCATTTTTTTTTTTTTTTTTTTGCTGTGCCTACACTTGTGATTTACACCCTGTCACATAGAGTTAATTTCCCTCATATTTCCTGGAGCACTGCAATATCCCTTACCAGAGGTTTAGCCAGCTAAAAGAACTAAAAGAAGAAAGTTTTTCTATGATGATTTCCGATTTGCTAAAGCATTCGCCTTGAAACATACATGCCTCCACCCCGCCCCATTGTCACTGTGTGTTCTAGTACCCTCATATCTATAGTTGATCATGCTGCGAGCAAATTAAGAGCTGTGTCTGAAGTTGTCCATCCATCCATTTTCCATACCAGCTTGTCCTATGCTGGGGCAAGAAGCATTTGGTGCCTGTCCTGAAAACTATGGGCACAAGGCAGGGAATAACCCATGACACACTGGCAACCAATCACAGGGCACATTGACACACCATTCACATCTATGGGCAATTCGGCAACTGTGATTCACCTTGGCATGTTTTTGAACTGTGGGGGGAAACCAGAGAACTCAGAGAAACCTCAAGTCAATTCGGTGAGAACATGCAAACTCCATGGAACTGGGCAGAGGCTCAAACTAATGATGGACAAAATGATGCATCATGAACCATTTGCTGTATTTTTTGAACCCACTAGATGGTGCTCTCTGTTCAAAAAAAGGGCTCAAAAGATGCCCCAAAGCAAACCAAGAGCACCATCTAATGAGGTCAAAAATACAGCAAATAGTTCATGAAGCTTCATTTTGCCATCACTGACTCCATAGTGAGGGGGACAAGGGCTGTACCTCAAAAGATGGCACCAGATCCTCCTCGTCCGTGCAGTAGCCGATGCTGTGGTTATCCCTCCCATCCTCCAGCAGTTTCCTTTCCAGTGTGGACCCAGGACCCATGTCCACAAAAGCTGTCTCCATGCAGTGATTTCTGTGTAGTCCTGTGGAGCCTGTGAGCCCCCACGCGGGGCCAGCGGGGTAGAGGGCCTCCGTGTCGCACGGCAGAGAGCGTGCGTCTAACAGCTGCTGCTGACGGAGCTCCGACGGAGCGCGGTCCCTCCTCCAGGACGGAGTGGGGATCATCTTGGCTTCCTCACACTTAACCATGATGACCTTAAGTAACCCGCTACCGCTGGAGGTTTCGTTCTTTTTGTCACTCAGTAGGGGCTGATCCAGCTCATCCGGACTCTCCATCTTATAGTCACTAAGGCAGCTGCTCTCTGCTATTGTACGTAATACTGCCCAGTGTGTTTTATAACTGCAAGGTGAGTCCTCTCCCTTTCAGTCCGACGCCTCGTTTGCCTCCCTGTTTAGTACATCTCGGATGTGACAAAAACTCTTCTTTGCCACATTTCTCTTGCCATGGGTGTAGATGTACTTCTATTTATCTAAGTCCATCAGTGCTACTTCGATTTCGCCACCAGTATCTGAATTTAGTTGCTAGCAGTACATTTTAGCGTTAAATTAATTTGGATTTTTTTTTTTTTATTACTTTTAAATATTCTTATGGACAGAGTTATTTATTTTGTGGTAATAATATATACCATGAGGGAAATAAAACCAGTACCAATAATTATGTAGAAATGCAATCCAGGTTATACTAACTGACTAAAATTTATTTCATGTCATATCATTATTTTGAATTATAACTCCAGTAGTATCAGATTTGAGTCCTGACAGAGGATTTTGCTAACAGGCAACCAGATACCTATGACTGTTCTTTGTTTTGGGGGAAGACATGATGAGTGAAGCGGGCAGGTTTCCTATGGCGATGTGTTTGCTAGCAGCAGCAGGAAAGCTATCTGGGGACGTGTACTTTCAATTCCAGGGAGCAGCGGTGTGGGCACTGCAGGGCGCCGTCGGCAGGTGGTGTGGGGAGCTCAGCTGGCACTGCGCACTGTAATCGAAAGAGGAATCATGTGGCAAGGCGAACTGGCTGCACTTCTGCTTTACAGTCATTCCTCAGCCCTGACAAAAACAAACTAGCCCTACTAAAGACGTGAAACACCAAGTTCCCTGCATCAACAATTAAGAGATTCATGACCGCAGGACTCAAACGCAACACTGAGCCAAATAATGAGAAAAACTTTATTCTCAAGAACTTTTCTCTTGTATAGAGCTTTGGGGAATAAATGAGGAACACAAATTAATGGAACAACGTTAATTCTTGTCTCATCCTCTAAAGTTTAATATTTATGTTTTCATTAGAGTCACCAAGATCTTGACAAAACAGGCAAATATGAATCATACAACGGTGTAATAAAGTAAAATGTATAATTAGTAAAATATTAAAGCACTCTCAGTATTGCCCCAGAAGCACTACAAAATTGTAAACGAAAGCTAGTGAATAAGTATCTATTACTGAATGTAAATGATGAGATTCAAACCTAATAGTGTTTTTGGCAATAGCAGCACAATTAGCCAAGGCAAGTTCATTTATATGGTACATTTTCAAACACAGAGGTCATTCAAAGTGCTATAGACAAAATAAGATCAAATTAAAGCAATGATTAAATGGACAATTAGGGGGTGTGGCAAAAGGTAAATGACAATTTAAATAACAGTAATTAAAAAGTATAAAAAAGACTGAAGGCAATATGGAATAAAAATGTTTTGAGCCTGGTTTCAAGCCAGATTATATAATTATACCTAAAATTTTCCATCTAGTTTGCCACTATAAGCAGGTTGTTGACTAGGTGACTCAGCCATTGTCTTACTTAATTTCTTCAGTGTCAGAATAACCTTTAAGTTACAGTTCTTCACGTCAAAAAGTTCTGCTTTTGATGAGCTGAAGTTTGGAAGCCGTAGTGTGGTTTATGCACTAAAAACCACTCGTTCTAGGGATGTAACCTCAGTGTTCTGTCTGGCTGAAGCAGCCAGCTGCTTTGTGAATGATCTGAACAGGGATCTCAGCTTTGCAGTGTGTGAAAAACGGGGGGTCATCAGTAACCTCTCTGACAGACTGTCCTTATCACCTGAGCACAGCACTGCATTCTGCTGTCAGTGATTGCTTTGCTTGGCTTTACTCTATAGTGCAAAGAGCATAATCAATACTGGCCAGTCCTCTGTTCGAATTGCAGAAATTATAATGAACCACATTTCTTGGGAGGTCCCTCCATGGGGAGAGCTTTTCAACCATCATTACACATTGTGTTGCATTTGCTGCATCAATAATTTGCATTTTATTGTTTTGTGCATGTGCCTAAATGTATCTTAGCAAGCATCTAAATGTGTTTTATTGTTTTGTGCATGTGTCTAAATGTATCTTAGCAAGCATCTAAATGTGTGCATATAATATACACTCACCTAAAGGATTATTAGGAACACCTGTTCAATTTCTCATTAATGCAATTATCTAATCAACCAATCACATGGCAGTTGCTTCAATGCATTTAGGGGTGTGGTCCTGGTCAAGACAATCCGGTCTGAGGGCCGGTCTGAGTATTTCACAATCTGCTCAGTTACTGGGATTTTCACGCACAACCATTTC